TCCATTCTATACTTCTTCGTTCTGATTCATTCTGTTAGTGTGAAGGACAGGAACTCTCTCAGCCAGAGAATAAAGCAGGAGCAGAATTGAATGCATTGTGAATGCACCGCACTGTCTTATTTAATGGAATTCTCCAGTTGTTCCTGCACGTCCAAATGTCTGATGTACAAGATATAGGAGTAGCATGTTTACTAATACCATCATTGTTCTGTACATGTCTCAGTATAAGAAGAGAATTTTGGTAACATGTTTTCCAGAAGTATTCTTGATTCTAGGAGTCATAATTTTGACAAGTCTGGACACACTTTCATCTTCAATGAGAGGATTAGAGAGGTTGGCTTTCTTTAATAGTCATTTAACCAGCTTATTTTTCAAAATTAGCCTCTGTGTACTTTATTAAGATTTTTAAATTGTGTTGTTTTGGAGTTTGACTACTATAAACAAAATGTGCTTAAAGTACCTTATTTTTCTCAAACATTTTCTTCTTTTCTTTGTATTTTTTATGTGAATACTTTATTTTGTATCAATCAAGAATGACTTCATGGTCAGAGAGAGAAAGACAGTTACCATATGATATCACTTATGTGGAATCTAAAATATGATACAGATGAATTCATTTATAAAACAGAAACATTCACAGACATAGAAAACAAACTTATGGGGACTTCCCTTGTGGCACAGTGGATAAGAATCTGCCTGCCAATGCAGGGGACACGGGTTTGATCCCTGGTCTGGGAAGATCCCACATGCTGTGGATCAGCTAAGCCTGTGCGCCACAAATACTGAGCCTGTGCTCTAGAGCCCACGAGCCACAACTACTGAGCCCACGTGCTGCAACTACTGAAGCCCGCGTGCCTAGAGCCCGTGCTCTGCAACAAGAAAAGCCACCGCAATGAGAAGCCTGTGCACCACAACAAAGAGTAGCCCCCGCTGGCCGCAACTAGGGAAGGCGCGTGCACAGCAACGAAGACCCAGCACAGCCCAAAATAAATAAATTTATAAAAACCAACCAACAGAAAGGAAACAAACTTATGGTTACCAAAGGGGAAGGGGGTGGGGGAGGGATAAATTAGGAGTTTGGGATTAGCAGATACAAACAATGATATATACAAAATAGATAAACAACAGGGTCCTGCTGTATAGCACAGGGAACTATATTCAATATCCTGTAATAAACCATAATGGAAAAGGAAAAAACAATGACTTCATGGATGTCATTGTGATTTTATAGTTTTTCCTATTTTTGAAAATTTTACATTGCAAATCATAAGATCTGGGTATGATAACTGGATTTTTTTCTGTTGTCTCTTTTTTAAAAAATAATTTTTATTTTATATTGGACTATAGTTGATTTACAATGTTGTGTTATGTTCAGATGTACAGCAAAGTGATTCACTTATACATATACATATATATATACATATATATATATATATATATGTATATATATATCCTTTTTCAAATTCTTTTCCCATTTAGGTTATTACAGAATATTGAGCAGAGTTCCCTGTGCTGTATAGTAGGTCCTTGTTAGTTATCTATTTTTAATATAGTAGTGTTTATATGTCAATCCCAAACTCCCAGTTTATCCCTCCCCGCAACCCTCGACCCTTTGGTAACCATAAGTTCGTTTTCTAAGTCTGTGAGTCTGTTTCCGTTTTGTAAATAAGTTCATTTGTATCATTTTTTCTTAGATTCTGCATATAAGCAATATCATATAATATTTGTCTTTCTCTGTCTGACTTCACTTAGTATCATAATCTCTGGGTCCATCCATGTTGCTGCAAATGGCATATTTCATTCTTTTTAATGGCCGAGTAATATTCCATTGTATATATGTACGACATCTTCTTTATCCATTCATCTGTTACTGGACCTTAGGGGCCTCCATGTCTTGGTTATTGTAAACAGTGCCACAGTGAACATTGGGGTGCATATATCTTTTTGAATTATGGTTTTCTCTGGATATATGCCCAGGAGTGGGATTGCTGGTTCATATGGCAACTCTATTTTTAGTTTTTTTTTTTTTAAATTAATTTTTATTGGAGTATAGTTGCTTTACAATGTTGTATTAGTTTCTACTGTAAGGAAAAGTGAATCAGCTATACATATACATATATCCCCTCTTTTTTGGATTTCCTTCCCATTTAGATCACCGCAGAGCATTGAGTAGAGTTCCCTGAGCTATACGGTAGATGCTCATTAGTTATCTATTTTATACACAGTATCAATAGTGTATATATGTCAATCCCAATCTCCCAGTTCATCCCACCCCCACCCTTGATATCCATGTTTGTTCTCTAAGTCTGTGTCTCTGTTTCTGCTTTGCAAATAAGATCATCTATACCATTTTTCTAGATTCCACATACATGCGTTAGTATACGATATTTATTTTTCTTTCTGACTTCGCTCTGTATGACAGTCTGTAGGCGCATCCACCTCTCTACAAATGACCCGGTTTGTTCCTTTTTATGGCTAATATTCCATTGTATATATGTGCCGCATCTTCTCTATCCATTCCTCTGTTGATGGACATTTAGGTTACTTCCATGTCCTGGCTATTGTAAATAGTGCTGCAATGAACATTGGGGCGCCATGTGTCTTTTTGAATTACGGTTTTCTCTGTATATATGTCCAGTAGTGGGATTGCTGGGTTATATGGTAATTCTATTCTTAGTTTTTTAAGGAACCTCCATACTGTTCTCTGTAGTGGCTGCATCAAGTTACGTTCCCACCAACAGGGTAGGAGGGTTTCCTTTTCTCCACACCCTCTCCAGCATTTATTGTTTGTAGACATTTTGATGATGGCCATTCTGACTGGTGTGAGGTGATATCTCATTGTGGTTTTGATTTGCATTTCTCTAATAATTAGCAGTGTTGAGCATCTTTTCATGTGCTTTTTGGCTATCTGTATGTCTTCTTTGGAGAAATGTCTATTTAGGTCTTCTGCCCATTTTTTGATTGGGTTTTGTTTGTTTGTTTGTTAGTTTTCTGTCATCTTGGTCTCATCTCCTGATACACCTGAATTTTGGATACTGTGTATAAAATATAGTAGAGATAATTCTAGGTTATTGATAATGTCATTTTCCTGCAAAAAGGATTAACTTTTGCTTCTTTTAGTCAGAATCAGAGATTGAGCTGATTCACTGCTTTGCCTCAGACTTTGTAAAGCTGTCCTATTCCTGCTTGATCCTTACTTCCTTTCTTATTCTCACCCCTTTTCCTGTTTTCCTACTAGGTGGTTTTGTTCTGGTTGATTTGCAAAAGCTCTCTTTGTATGTAAGAGACAGGCTCTTTGCCTAAATATGCTACAAATGTTCATCACCAGCAAATATGGTTTGTCTGACTGCTACATTTTAGGATTTTTTTCAGGGTTTTTTGTAGCCTTTCTATTGTCCTTTTAAAATGTTAATATTGCACAAATATTTATAAACTACCCACATATAATCACAATACACTTATACATCCACATGCACAGACAGGACATTATTAATGACATTATTCAGGTTCTTTATATCATAATTTTTGAGGGATCAAGGTTGATTTGCCAATGACTAATGGTAGTAATTTTACCCTTTCTCATGATAAAGAGTGATGTTCTTGGTCTTTTTTTTACCTAGAATTTGATCTTGTCAAGTGTTAAAATGTTACGATCCATGTGTTTTGGAAATGCTGGGGGTATGGTGTAGATTCTGATTTTGTCTTTGTCTCTTGAATTCAGGATTCTTCAGTTCTTTTCCCCCTCTTTTAAGTTAGAAGTAAAGAATGGATTCTATGGTTAAATAACCTGAGAGATATCATAGGAGGAGAAAGTGGGCCTGTACCTGAGTCTTAAAGTATAAATAGGATATGAATGGGTAGAGGTGTGTGGGCCTTCCAGACAAGGGAGAAGGATTAAAAAAGGAATGAGGAGGGCTTCCCTGGTGGCGCAGTGGTTGGGAGTCCGCCTGCCGATGCAGGGGACGCGGGTTCGTGCCCCGGTCCGGGAGGATCCCACATGCCGCGGAGCGGCTGGGCCCGTGAGCCACGGCCGCTGAGCCTGCGCGTCCGGAGCCTGTGCTCCGCAGCGGGAGGGGCCACAACAGTGAGAGGCCCGCGTACCGCAAAAAAAAAAAAAGAAAAAAAAAAAGGAATGAGGATAGGGTAGAAAATGAAGTATGTTCAGAATGTGAAAAGAGGCTCTCGGGAGCAGGAAGTCAAGAAATAGGAAGCAAATGTGGGTTAATGAGGTAGGATCACATTTTGGAGGATCCTGAAAGCTAGGTGGAAAAGTAATTATTTATAAATTGGCTATTCTTAATGCAAATAACCAGACAAGTACATATTTACAAAATAAACTTTGTGTCAGAGCTCGCAGTACGGAATCATCTGTCAAGCTTGTTTATCTTGATTCATTTTCCTTTATTCCAAGAGCTCAGAGCAGTGCACCATGATTCACATTAACTAATCTAATGCACATTCTTTGAGTTTTATTTTGTATCTGACATTCTAACCAGGTGATTTTTAGAGTCATGGTTCAGATTGGTAACCTCGCCTCAAAGAGATATTTTAAGTCTGTCACATTGTGGATCAGTTGAGAACTGCTTTCCTTCAGTTCTGTTTTTCTCCTTCCTTTTCTGCTTATGCCCACCCCCAAAATCATAAATGTAAGTTTCCTTGCATATATTAAGCAGATGAGATGAAAATATACTAAATATGGGGAGATGGCCATGTCTGCAGGCCTGGACTGTTCAGTTGTCTCTCAAGAAGCATGTAGCATGGTGGCTTATTGAGAGTTGAATGAAGCAATGAATACAGTTGCCAATAGTATTTTCAAGTACCCACTGTGCACAGATGATGTGGAAAGATGCGGAAGTCAGGACCTTCTATTGAATGATATCACTGAGCTTGGGATGGTCTGCTCTTCAGAAACAGTACTTTTACTCCCAAAGGGAAGTTGAGAGAACTGAGTGTTCTCCTTTTAGCTTTGACATAAAATTGTATGTTTTTTCTATTCCCAGGGGACTCCTTCTCACAGTTCCGGTTTGCTGAGGAGAAAGAGTGGGATAGTGAAGCTTCCTACCTCAAACAGGTAAGGTGAAGCTCTGTCTGGAATGTGGATTGGCTCTTCTCGAGGCTGGAGACCAGCACCTTTCACATTGTTGTTGAGATGGAGACCTCACATAGAGAAGAGTCTAGTAATTCATGTACAGTTCAGCCTCAGTTACCTAAATTGCTCAGAAAGTTTTCAGGGAGCTTAAATTATACGGGCTCTTGGAGCTGGAGTTGACCTTTATACCTGGCCATCTATGTGAACTACTTATATAGCTCATATATGACTATAGTTCATATAGACTGGGTTGTAGGGCTGAAAGTTTATAGTCACGATTTTGAGTGGATTACTTGGCCATTTGGCCTTCCTTCTTTTCCCTTTCTGTGAAAATTCATCTAAGGCTTGAGAATTAATTTTTTTCTCCCACACTGTTTTTGGTGTTAGGTAAGAAAATCCTTAACTTTATAGTTTTAAATAACTCTTCTATGATTAGGAGAATAAAGCTATAAAATAAGAACAAGTATCATAGAAGTCTTTCAGTGAATCCATAACACCCACATACTTTATTTGCTTTGTATTCCTGCCATATTTTCTTCCCAAGGAGTTTTGATGATTCTCCAGGCAGGATTTCACTGAACCTTTCCGTACAAGAGACGACAGGTATTCTCACCCTTTTTAAAGTGCACAGAGGATGAGTAAGTGCTGGCATGGCATTGCTTCCGACTCCGGGGCTGGAGCATACTATCTGATACAGTGATCAGACAGCCTGCCCACAGCTTCAGACAGGCGACCGGGCAGCAGACCTGATGGATAAAGGGCGGGACCTTCCTCCCCATTCCGCTGTCAGCTCAGTATACACACAGTAGGTGGCTCACACCCCCAGGTGGGCTGGCTTCACGTTCAGTTGTTTGGGATGGACATTGACTTAAAGACAGAGGGGAGGGAAGTGACTTGTAAAATGACTTCCTGTCACTGTACAAAGAGTATGTTTTATAATATAGAAAAATTGGGGAATTAAAAATATTTGTTTTTGCTTGGGTCTGTTTGGGCATGTACCTGAGTATGGTTTAGAATTCTAGGACAAGTTGTAAACAGACGAACTCAGATCATGGAGGAATTCAGTGCAAGCCAAACAACTCCCATTTCAACTCCTTTGCACTATGTTGGCTATCAGAGAACATTTTGTTATCCTGAGAGTTTCAAATAATTCTAAGGTTCTTTATTTATCAAAACACGTGTTCTTTATTAGATATTTTATTAGATGTAGCTTATTGGAAGATGAATGAGACAGAGACCATGCTTGTTCATCGCCCTAGGCCCCTGACCTTAGCACAGTGGCTGACACATAGTAGATGGTTGGTAAATATTTACATGATAAATGGAAAAGAATGCCACATAAAATAAGTGGTATAATAAATGAATGAACATAATACTGTGGGAGAAAGCTGCTTTGGGCTGGAAGTGATTGAGAGTAGGAGCATGGGATAAAGATCATTTGAATGGGCCTTGGTGGATGAGTATGGTTCTGGTAGGTTCTGTCTGGGGAACAACAGGAGAATGATGAGATCTGAAAGACCAGGCTGTGCTCAGAGTCGGGAGCATAACTGGAGTGTAGCTGGAGTGTGGATTCTCGGAAGAAGCGGCTTCCAGGGTGGGTCTGGGCCACTTAGTACCAGTGGTTTGGTCTTCATTTTATCTAGGGGCAGTTTAGCCTGTGGGTCAGAGCATAGACTTCAGAGACACAAACCTGAGCGTAAATACTAGTTCTCATCTGGAAAATGGAACTAATAATAAAATGTAACTCAGAGTTACATTTTATTATTGCACCTCTCGAGGAAGGTGCAATGGTCATGAGGATTATATTAGATTATAAATAAAAGTCCTTCTGTGCAGTTCCTGACACAGAGGAAACACTCAAAATTAGCTCTTATCACTACTGTTACTTGTTAACAAAAGTTTTGTTTAGCAAGACAATGGAAATGGCTAGACTGGACCTCCACAATATTGGGAAGGAGGGACTGAAGAGGTCGGAGGCTGGAGGCTGGGGGAGCAGGTAGGAGGATATTACGTGGGGTGAACGGGAGGGGACGTGGGCCGACAGCATGGGCCGTGAGAGGAAAGACGGTTCACTGGCAGATGGGACTGCAGCGGAGGACGTGGTAGATTGCGTCACGGGCCAGACGTGAGACATGAGGACAAGAAAGATTCGCAGGAGTGCTAAGCTTCCCAGCACGCTGATGAGGTGAGCAGTGATGATTGATGGAGCGAGAGAAGGCAAGCTTGATTGTGAGCATCTTGAGTTGAGGTATTAGTAGGACACATCCCAAGCTGAGTTCATCACTTCGCCACCGGCACTGTTTTGTGTCCCACATCTCTCCTCACTCGGTTCTCTTTATTTTTGCTTACTTGAGAGAGAAAAAGAAGAGAAGAATCTGTCTGTCTATCTACCTGTCTGTCTATCTATCAGTTGTTCCTCATGTGCTCCTCTGTCCCTAGCATAGCCAGTGACATGAAGCAGTCAAGAGTCTGCCAGTGGGTCCTGGCGGAGGCCCCAAAGGGCACCCTGATGGGAGAGGGCCCAGTGCTGTCCCTGTGACTTGCCTTCATGTCTCTGTGGCTCACATGCGGGGTGAGGCGAAGGTGGCCTGGCAGTCAGGGTCCCTGCTTCAGCTGTGTTGGCCCCATTACCGCAGGCGAATTGGTCCCTTCAATCCAGGAGTGGCGTTTTCAGACCTGTCCTTTGGACAGTGTGGGGACATGTGAGGAGGGAATGGGTGGAAGGAGAACTGAGGGTGAAACAAGTAGGTCCATTGTTTTTTGAAAATCACCTGAAGCTTTTTTTCCATTCCATTTTTCAGTTGTGTTGACTAGTGACTTATTTAGTCAGTAGAGCTTCCTCGAGCAACCACTGAGCACCGGGTGGCACGCCGTGGTTCCTGAGTGCGTGGCTCTTAAGGGAACAGACACTCAGGCCCACCCCTGAGAGCGCAGTTCTGAATGAGGCCTGATGCTCTGTACATGGAAGGCGCCCCAGCTTTCTCTAAAGTGTCGCTTGATCTGGGCACTCCCACTGTAAAGTGTCCCAGTGACCCCTGAGTACCCAAATGAATGTGGACAGTGAGTGCTGTAGCTCTCCAGGAAGGTGCAGTGGTCTGATCAGAGGCTGTAAGTGGAGTTTCTAGTAGGTTCGTTCCTCACCAAATGGTGTACCTTTACAGAGACACTGAGACTCAGAGTCTGATTGGCTTCCTGGACAGGGAGGAAGGAACCTTCGGGAATAGATTCTCACCACCGAGTCTGTGCGCACACTGATGGCGGAGAAGTGGGGTTGGAGGGACTTTGTTCTAACAGTCAAGGCTGGCCTCCTGCCCCCAGCCTCCGAGTCTGCAGGAGAGGAGGCGCTGGGGTGGCCAGGCTGTGAGCTCCAACTGTGAGTGACTGTCAGCGTTGGCCAGCTGGATGTGGGGATGGGGCTCTCCGGGCAGAGATGACCCACCAGTTATTTACAACATGGAGCAAAAAAGCTAATTCATGGTGGTTATTCCAATTAAATCTATTTTCAAATTCACACTTTACTATTACAAGCAATTCACTTCAGCTCCCTTTATATCTAAGGCCTTCAGCTGTAGCCCTTTAGGGGACAAACTGTTGACAAAAAAGGGGAAGTCTTCTTACATGGTGGTGTTTGATGGTAGGTTCTAGGCTCTAGGACTGCTGCAGGGAGACGAGGAGAAATCACTATGCTGGGCTGAAGTGTCTTGAGGTCCTCATGGAGGCGGTGCCCTGTCACCGGGGCCTTGGTTGGTGGGTGGGAATTGGAGACGTGGGGAAAGGAGACACTCCAGCAGCTGAAGGTCCATCACCTGGGACTCGGCACATAAGCACAGCCTGGCCATTCCCTGGATCTCACAGACTTTTCACCGTTAACGACATACCTTGTAGCCGTGTCACACATGATGCAAAAGGGGGGAGGAAGTTTGGGCACTTCTAGCTGGACCCCAGCACGTCTCAGCGGGCCCTCTCTAGAGAGCTGAGGCAGCAGCAGGTGAATGGTTGGCAGGCATCGTGGATGGAAAGTTCTTGCTCTTTTATAGGCTGAAAGCAGGGGGTCTACCCGGGTGACTTTGCAGACACCTTGGCAGTGGGAAGGGTGAGATTTCCAGATTGTAATGTGGTGACTTACTCGTGGGTTAAGCGTTCAGGATCACACTTTTCTAGTGGTTTGAGAGGTCTTCTCCAAACTTCGAAACAAGGGCTGGCCGTGCTGGTCTTGATCAAGCACTTGACGTGCTGAGTGCAGGACTGAGGCAAGGCCTGCACATGTAGTGCATTTCCCACTCTCCTGCTTTGTTATCCTCCATCCTGCTCCCTAAATACTCTATGTTTTTAGATGTAAGTTCCTTTTTTTCCAGGGTGAGGGGGCCACATCTTCTGCTGCCAACCTTGCTTACCTTAGAGCTAGCCATCTCCGGAAACTTTCAGAAGGGCAGTTGAAAAGCTATATTGCTTCTTTTGATCCCTGTGTACTGCTGTTGTGAGGCTCGGGGGTTTGAGTGGGTCTGGATTTAGTGTTGGCGCTCTACTTGAGAGCACCAGGAATGACTCCCCACCTCCAGTCGTTATAAACCCATCTACCCAAGCCATCCTTACAGTGGAATAGAGATTAGACTCCATGACCCCTGGGTGTTGTTCTCTAACTTGAAATCAGTGATTGCAGCATAAGTCATGGTTCTACCTGGGTCTGTGATAGTCCTTGGTAGACAAGGTGGTCCGTGGTGTCTGCCTCTAATGTGGCAGCCACCTCTTAGATTTTCCTTCTCTTGGGTGGCCAGGGCACCTAGAAACAGCTGTTAGGGGTCATGCGATAACCTGGAATGTTTTCTCAGATGTGGTCAATTTGTGAGGGCATTGCCTGGATGGGATTTTTGCGTCTATGCACAGGAAGGGAGTTCGAGGGACTTTTAGTGTTGGCCTCACACAAAGTGCTGCCAGCTGGAGGGTAAGTTTCCATCCTCTGCTTTCTGGTTGGAAGAGAGAGAAGCGTATACCTCATGGGCTTCTTTGGCTGTGACTGTCCTCCCCATCTGACTGCTGAGACAGCTCTTCCCTGCTCTCCTGAAGGCCAGACATCTGAATCTGGGGGAGATGTCCAGTTAGATTTCATTAAGTGCTTTGAATTTTTTTCAGTAATTCCAAGAGCGTGCACAGGTTCCAGGTTTCCATGCAGTCTTGATGTGAGGTGATCACCACCCTGCTGCTGCTCTGGCAGCCTGAGCTGTGGCTCAAGAAGGTGCTTTTGGTTTTGCTTATCTTAATGCAGAGATGGTAGAAATTAGAACCATATCAAGTGTGATTTATGATCTGATTACTCCCAGCTAAAAGTAATAGATGATTTATTTACAGTTACTGCCTATCGTCTTGTGCTCTTTTATTTCTGAAAGGCCATGTGTAATCATGTTTGTTTTTTTTTTTTGCGGTACGCAGGCCTCTCACTCTTGTGGCCTCTCCTGTTGCGGAGCACAGGCTCCGGACGCGCAGGCTCAGCGGCCATGGCTCACGGGCCCAGTTGCTCCGCGGCATGTGGGATCTTCCCGGACCGGGGCACGAACCCGTGTCCCCTGCATCGGCAGGCGGACTCTCAACCACTGCGCCACCAGGGAAGCCCCATATGTAATCATCTTGATCAATAATCTATCTTTTTTTTTTATATAGAATTCAGCATTTTATGTGGACTGTGAGTCATTGGTTCGAGCCCTTCAAGAACTGCCTCTCTCACTCCGACTCAATGTTGCTGCTGAATTGGTCCAGGTAAAAACCCTGACAGCATCCTGAGGCTGGTATGAATTAGGGCAGGAGAAGAAGAATGAATAATATCCCCCTGCAGGATGTTTCAGACTCAGCGTTTCCTTTCATCAAGCTGAGCGTTTTGTATCAGGTAGAATTTCGTAAAGTTTTGAGGGAGAATGAAATACTTCCTAAAGGTTTTTTTTTCTTTTTCATTTTATATTTGAAACATTTTAAAGGATCAAATGTAATAGAATTGAATGAAATGTAAAAGTGTAGAGTCTGCCTTGTATTGTACTCAAAATGTTTATGTGCCAGGCTTTGTGTTAGGCACTAAGGTTACAGTGGTGAACAGACAGGCATGGTTCCTGCCCTCATGGAGCTTAATCTATTGGGAAAGACGGGTATTAATCAAGTTATCAAATTATAAGTCCTGTGAAGGGGAAGGACAGTATGCCATGAGAATATGTAATAGTGAACCTGATCGACTTTGGTGTGATTAGGAATGGCCTTCCTGAAGACGTGACAGATAAGCCGAGATCCAAAGAACATTTGAGTTGGGATTTAAAGAAGAGTGACCCAGTCAGATCTGCATGAACAACTGTGCTAATAACAATAACAGTAACAAAGAACATTCTGGCTGCAGAATGGAGAGAGGACTGTATTGGGGTGTCTGTGTTTAGGGTAAATCTGTTCATGCACACCCATGCAAAAGTAGAGTGGATGAGGGGAGGCAAATTAGGAGGCCACTGCACGGTTCAGGTGAGTAATACTATAGCTTGGACCAGGCTAATGACGGTAGAGATGGCAGGGAACTGGACTTTACCAAGAGGTGTATTACAAAAGTAAAATTAACAGGACTTGGTGAAATACTGGAAATGGAGAGGGAGCAGGGAAAGAATCTTCTAGGTTTTCCAGCCTGTGCAACTCCGTGGTAGCTAGTATCGGGAAGGGTGAGGCTTGGACATTATGGGTTTGTGTCTCTGAGATGTCAAAGTGAAAATATTAGTCAATTGGATATAGAAATTTATAGTTCAGAATCAAGGGTTGGAAATGTAAATTTGGGAGATATCCGTTGTAAGGTAGCCAAGAGAGGAGCCATTGAATCGGCCAAGAGAGGAGGGGCCCAAGGGCTATACCAGAAGGAAATTTGAAATTTAATTGTGGCTAGATTGGATTTTGTTAAAAAGTGAAACCCTGGGCAGTACTAGTTGTCAATAGAATCCCAGCAACTAAAACGATCAGTTTTGTTCTGCAGTTGAATGTGATGCTAAGCCTGAGCGTAGGCAGGCATCAGTGGGTATCCACCCAGTTGTCTCTGTGGCACTTATGTCAAATTTAGGGCAGCAAGTAGAATTCAGGGCTGGAGGACACTTAGGGGCAGAGAAGTAGAGAGGATAGCATTTGCCTCTGATGGGGAGTCACCCTGGGACTTCTTTAGGAGTGTTTGCGGGTATTGGGGCTTGTCTTAGTGATTGGGTGAGCACTCCTCTTCCTCTGGCTGTCCAGAGATGGTCAAAGTCCTGACATACTTGGTTTGATCTCACACATTGAGGAGTGGTTAACAGAACACATCAGGGAAACACTGAGATGAAGGTGATGGGGGCCCCAGGATTGAGGAGAGAAACGGGAAGTGTTGTGAGCATTTGAAAGTGAAGGATGATGTTGTCAGAGTGAAGGATGATGTTGTCAGAGGCAGGCCTCAGAGGAAAGATATAAAATAATTGTACTTTTATAAATAGTAACTTTTAACTATCTAGCCAGGTTTTCAAATACCCACTCCTCCCATGAGGTAGAGCGGTTATTCTCAACTGTGTTTGCATGTTAGACTCACCTGGGGAGTTAACAAACAAAGACAATGCCAGACAGCCAGTGCAGACCAACTGAATGATTCCAGGATTAGAATAGGGGACCACATCCCATCGTCGCCCTGCACACTGACAATGCTGGATGAATCTTTAAGTTCATGTGTAAAGCCATGCGGTCTTAAAAGCCCTAAGGAGTCACTAGCAAACTGGATCTGCTCAGGACGCTTAAATGTACAAATAAGGGGACAACACCTCCAATAGCAGCTGACCCTCCTTCTGAACCTACCCACTGATGCCAGGCTGGTCACCACAGGCCTCCCTCCAGATCTGTGGTTCTCAGCCTTCCTCTACGTTACAGTCACCTGCGGGGGAGGGTTTAACCTTATTAAATTATGACGTATAGAGAAGTGCATGCGCAAGTCTTTACAACCATGGAATCAGCATCTAGACCAAGAATCAGAACGCTGCCACCACCCAGAACCTCCCCCCAACCCCCGAGGCAATAATTCCCTAAAACCACCATCCTGACTTCTCATACTCGATTAGTTTTGCCTGTTTGGGGCGTTTTTACAAATGTAATCAAATGGAATGTTTTCTTTCCTGTCTGGCAATTTTTACCCAAATAATGCTACTAACGGTCATTCTTTTCTTCTTGGTGAATTTGTTCCTTCATCTCCTATATTTGTGCATCTTAGTACAGTGAACAGATCCTACTCGCTGATGACTTCTCGGTGACTTTTTACAAATGTTTGCCTCGTCGCAGGCTTAAGTATACAGTCACACAGACCTACGGGACTGTCCATTCTCAGGCTGGTGACAGGAATGCACAGCCCTTTTGATTTCAGCTTTGAGCAGGTTGGCACATGGCTGAGGTGGGCACGGTAGGGAGGTCTCCCACACTTACCCCTGCAGCAGTAAGGGGGTGCTGGCAGGACCTGGATGGAGACACTTTGTGACTTTCCTGTCTGAATTGAGTTTCTTACTCCACAAAGTCTGATGGCTTCCTTTGCTTTAATTTCCGCTTAAGCAAATACGGCAGGACTCACATTAACTCAGATATTGTGCTTCTCTTTCAGACTGCCCTTCCTTTAGAGCTTCCTCAGGTGAAACCAAAGAGAAATAATGATGGCAAGGGACTAGGGATGCAGTTGAAGGGGCCCTTGGGGCCTGGAGGAAAGGGGTCCATCTCTGAGCTGAAATCTGCTGCCGCTGGCTGCCCCATGTACCTGGGTAAAGACAGCCTAGGACCGGGCCCTTCCAAGTGGTCTCAGAACCCCGCTTCCCCACTGCAGTCGGCAGCAGACGATTTGGAAGAACTAGATCTGCTGCTTAATTTAGATGCGTCTGTAAAAGAGAGAGGTGACATCTTAGCAGACCAGACAGCTCAGGACCTGGAATCTGAGAAAGATGAGGAGGTGGCCCAAGAAGAAACAGGTATGGTTTTCATTTTATTCCCCATCCATCTTCTCGATTCTGGTGTTTTTCTGAGAATAGCTTCACCTCTGTCACATCCCTACACCTCTTCATCAGTGTCTGACATCGATCTGGCCTTGTCCACTGACATCTATTTCTGTGCTCACGTCTCTGCTTCCCCCTGAGCTGACCTTTCTGACAACATTGCTCTCACTCGATATACTGGGCGTCCAAAGCTGCTACCTGCCTGATTGCAATCTTAAACCCGGGGCTGCAAATTGAACTCGTGCTGTAAAAGGCATTTCGATACTCGTGGCCTCAGCTGTTCAGCAGCAGACCTTTTAATCGACTGTCTGAACAGGCCTGTCGACCAGTTCTTTGTGCTTCTTGCTTGCTATTTCGATCTTGGTTTTTTTTTTTGTTTTGTTTTTTTGTTTTGTTTTGTTTTGTTTTGTTTTTACCAAAGAAGACTTCCTCATTTGTGCATGTTCTGTTAGATGGTGGGCCATCTGACAGGGAGAGGCCTAGTGACTGCCCCGTCCATACACTGCATTCAGGACCCTTTAATGGCTTTAGTTTCCGGGAAACTAAGCTGTTAGTCTTTTAAAAAAAACTAGTGGACTGTGAAATTCAGCATCCAGATAAATAGAAGAGCAACTCTCTACTCCATTTATCAGTTTGTTTAGGTATTACTGGATCTTCTTAGGGAGTAGGAAAATAATAGAACGTTTCCCCTTATCGTGAGCAAAGTAATAACTTGGCTGATTTCCAGCATGGATCAAACCCCAGGGAAGCGTTAACCCTCGATTCTGGCACTAACGTGAAGTTGTTAACGTTGCTTTTATTTTTTTAGATCCTGCAAAACCGTCTGCGTTGGAAGGAAAGAACGTGGCATCTGAGCAACCAAGTACATCCAGAAATGTTACTGAGGAAGAGCTTGAAGACTGGCTGGACAGCATGATTTCCTAAACTTGATGAAAGAAAAAAAGAGAGAGAGAAAGAAAATGAAAAGTGCCTGAAGCCAATTTTGGTTGCCTTGTAAGGGAAGGTGGGCCCAAGGCTGTCCTTCCAGAACAGCTGGTTTACAAGCACAGCCCGAGCCCGTGTGGCCATCACGCTTAGCAGTAGACGCGTACCTCCCCCATGTTCAACAAATCCGAAATGAGACAGTAAGAGGCTCGCTGCATTTGTTCTCTGGCTTAGTAACTGAATAGATTTCTTAAGGGCAGGAGATGTTACGGCCCTTGTGTCCAGTTTCTTCCTCTCAATGTTTACAGCATAGCAGGTGCTGCTGGTGAAGAGAGCTAAGCAATCAGGCATGCACTTGGCCAAAATAAACGAACGCTGGTTTGTGGATTTTTTTCTTCCTTTCTTTCTCGTGCGGGGAGCCGTGGGCTGTTTGTTTGTTAGTCTCCTGTCCCTTTTCCCAGCATCACAGGATGGTTGTAAATCATCCAGAAAGGGTGCGTTACAAGAGGCCAAACCATGAATTGGTGATGATGACTTTATTGCAGTGGGCACTTCATTTTATTTAAGGAGGTTCACCTAAACAGAGCAGCTCCACTACTTACAAGGGAGACCATAAAGCGTTACTCAATTTGGCATAAGATTGAGATTTTTTTTTTTCTGAATTTTCAGTACAGTACTTTTTTTTCCTCTAATAACAGCAGTTGACAAGCTGTTACTGAAAAAAAAAAAAATCACATGAATAACCTTTGAGTGCAGTTTCATAAAGTAAGACAGAAGATCAACACAACTAATTAATGGAACTGTCCATCTCGAACATAAACGTAAAAAACTTGCATAGCTATATCTAAAGAGGTTTTGTAAGGCACTTACTCGATATTTCAGTGTCGACAAAGTGGCGGTTTGTTTGTTTGTTTCTATTTAACTGCTTAAAGCTTTTCAAGCTGATTCTGGATACATTCACTAGCAAGTACCATGGGAAAAATTAGACTGCAGTTTTAAAATGATTTTTTTGTAGCTCAGACCATGAGTCACTAGTGGAGTACCATCATGTGGAATTCAAGTGCTTAAAATTCCAGGTATCATGCATCCAAAACTTCCTACTTCTCTAGCCCTTCCCTCAGTGGTGCCATCCCAACGAACTAGTTAGAACTGAGGAACGTGAAGGCTTTCAACCAGAGCTTCCTTGAAGCTGTGCCGTACTCTTTTAACATTTTTGACAGGTTATCTCGCACAGTGTACGTCCATTAGATACAAAAAGCCAAATCAATTCCAAAATATCACAGATGTGTAACAAACACCTCCTTGTAAGGGAGGCATTTAGGAAATGTCACTTTTCAAATGTGTTGCAGAACTGTTAAGAGAAGGATTTTATTGACCGTCCAGAATGGTGGAGGCTTCTTTCATTCCCATTTATCCAAGCTGATCTTCGTACTGTTTCCGGAAGCAGTCACCAGCAGGGAAGAAATCCCAACACCTTTCTTGGTACATCTTCCAGACATAAGATTCCTGAAATAACGGGAACAAAGGAGACTTCTTTATAAACCACAGTAAGCTGGAACCCAATTTATTTTCCCCTCTATATGTCTCCCTTTGGGAATACCGATGTGGATAAATATGAGGCCCAACTGGTACGTTCTTTCTTGCACTGTTCCCAGCTCACTCAGGCTGTTCTTGGAGCAAGAAGTTTCTCCCTTCTTTTCTCCCGTCTTCTGACCACTCCCCCACCAAAACAAACAAAAACCCCACAGTGAAACCAGCTCGATGATCGCCACTAAAAATACTTAAAGATTTAGCAGAGGGTTGACTCCATGCCATTTGTAACTGGTAGAAGGCAGAATATACGATGAGGGAGCACTGAGTGCCCGCTTAGGCAGGTGCCCAGAGAGCCAAGGCCAGATCTGGGTACCTACTGCCTCTAAGGGTCTGAGCCGTGGAGTTTTCCTACGAATCCAATGATGTTTGAATATTTGGTAAGCTACCTTTTCCTCCCCTATTCTCTGTCTTTACACTTCTTTTTCATACTTAGTCACAGAATCCCTCTGACACATACTTTCACGCACCCTGTCACACCCACACCTCCGCATCCCTGTGTCGCCCACACAGGAGGTCGTTATCTTTCTTAGGCTGTCTCTCGCACCATTTTACTCCGACTCTCCTGCTCTTTGTTGGAGCCACCCACTCAGCTTTGCATTGTCTTTTTCTCTGTAACGTTCTCCCCACCTCCAGCTATTCTGCCCTGAGGCAGCAACTATAAGGATTTAGAAAATGTCAGTGTTTGCTGGGAAGGATAACCAAGGGGGCCTTTTGGAATAGGTGGGAGTTGCCCTAGAAATCTGGCTTCTTAAGTCACAGAGAGATGGTGGAACAATGCAGGAAGCAGTGGGAAAACGCACAAAAGAGAAAAATGGGGGTCACCTCTCTATTTCAGCTATCCTATGCTCTACTGAGGCTTGACGTAGAAAGGGGAAGCTCTTTCTTAATTAAGGTGTTTCTCACCTGACCTGTGTGCTCTGTTTCATCTTTATTAATCAAATACATCAGGAAGAACCTGGAACGAGGGAAAAAGGTTTAACAACTGAGAAAAAGACAATATTAGATTCTTTGGTTAGAAAACCAAAGTCAGGCGAGCTGGAGAGAGGATTAAATACATTGTTCAGCATCATGCTGACTCCTGTACCTTTCAGAATAGGGGAAACATGGCATGACCACATACACCATCATCTTCTAATAATAATATACATTTATCTCAAAATTAGCCTTTTTGTGAGGAGAGGTCCTTTTTACTGTCATCAAACCTTGAGCCAAGATCACTTGTGAGGAAGAATTTTGGCTACCATTTTATTGTTTTTTAAAAAAATCCTAAGGTAAACAATAAAATGGTAACCAAAACTCTTAACCATATAATTCTTAGCGGGCCAATTTATCATCTTTTAAGAATACAGAATTGAAATTTGTGTGTCTCAAAGATATGTTATGGAAAAGTAAAAATATTTACTCTCCCTCAGTTGCCCTGGAATTCAGCAGCATGCAGGTGACTGGCCGCCTTGACAAGAGCAAATATGAATTGGTTGAGAGGAAGGCCTGACTGGAGGGGGTTCAAAGGAGGGTGGGACGAGAGAGGTTGGAGACCCTGAACATGCACACTTTTCCAGTTTTGCTGGAAGGGAAGGAAGAAGCAGGGCAACAGCTGGAAGGAAAAGTGGGGTCACAGCCTTTTTTCTTGGTTTAGGATTAAAAAATATTATATGGTGATTGATAGGAAAAATTCAGCAGAGAGGAAGCTTGCTGGAGTTAATATGACCTTGATTGAGAAGGGATGGGACCTAATTCCAGGTTGAGGGGCTGACATTTGCTTGGAGCAGAAACAGTCTGCAGTGCACATCTATCAATCAGAACAGGGGAGGGGCAGGGCATATGGACAAAGACACAGGCTCATGGGGACTCCCGCAAGCTCTTTCCTAATTGCCTCTACTTTCCGGAGACCAAGGAGGAAAAGGCATTTGGCAGAGCGTGAACTACGTGACGTAACTGTATTTTACTCACTGTTCCTGGCCCTGCCCCATCACCTTTGCTGACCAAGGATACTCACAAGTAGTTGGCTAAGTTGTGCTCTTGTAAGGTGTGTGTTTCAAAACCATGAGGGGTCGTGTCAAAGTAGTCATTGCCGATCCCACAGATGAAACATTTAGTCTAAGAAGAATAACAGGGAGAAAAGGCATGAGTAGGCGCGACATTACAGGAAGGTAGCAAAAGGGTGAGGATATCTGCTTGAATTGCGAGACACTAAAATATTTCTCTCTTTCATGCTTTAGGCTGTTAGTCGTCTTCTCCAGAGTGTCACATAACCTAGTTTCTACCTAGTGGAGGGTACTTGCTCTTTCCTAAGCCTGGGGCATGGCGGAGGCAGCAGGTCAGGGGGCGGGGGTGGTGGTAGGGTACAGAGCACAGAGGGTGGAGGGTGGAGCAGAAGAAATGCCCAGAGCTGGTAGATGGGCCCAGAGAAGAGGACCGGCTTGGAAAACAATCATGGTTGGTAATTTTGCCTAGGGCTGGCCTTAAATAATAGCGGAACCTACTGTTTAAAAAAGCCAGGTGCTGTGAGATAACGGAAATCAAGTTGGGATTTAGTAAACGGTACCTCCATATCCTCTCGTACTTGTTCTTGCTGGTCTCTCAGCTCCCCAAAAGCATCAATAATAAGACCTGGAATTTTAAATACAAAGACAAACAAAACACTTCAAATAACCTGTTTGTTTAGTCAGGGCAGAGGAATGACAGACGGAATGGCAGAGGCCATTGTGTTTTGTTAAAAAGAAAAATGTGGAATAGTACTCGGCCAGCCATAAAAAGAAACGAAATTGAGTCATTTGTAGTGAGGTGGATGGACCTAGCGTCTGTCATACAGAGTGAAGTAAGTCAGAAAGAGAAAGACAAATACCATATGCTAACACATATATATGGAATTTAAGAAAAAAAAAAGGTCATGAAGAACCTAGGGGTAAGACGGGAATAAAGACACAGACCTACTAGGGAACGGACTTGAGGATATGGGGAGGGGGAAGGGTAAGCTGTGACAAAGTGAGAGAGTGGCATGGACACATATACACTACCAAATGTAAAACCAGTAGCTAGTGGGAAGCAGCCGCATAGCATAGGGAGATCAGCTTGGTGCTCTGTGACCACCTAGAGGGGTGGGAGGGAGGGAGACGCAAGAGGGAAGAGATATGGGGATATATGTATACGTATGACTGATTTACTTTGTTATAAAGCAGAAACTAACAAACACACCATTGTAAAGCAATTATGCTCCAATAAAGATGTTTAAAAAAATGAATTATAAAGCTGAATGATACAATTAAATCAAAATTAGGAAAAACAAACACTTGTGTTTTCAAATGCTGAGTCCCGGCTAACGATTTCTCATGGTTCCTCTTACAGCGCCTCTCAGCAGTATTTGACGCTAACTCTTCACTCCTCCTGGACTCTCTCTCTTCTTGTCCTTCCTTCCTTGTCCTACTACTTTGCTTGGCTGTTCCCTTTCTGTCTTCCTTATGGGCTCTTCCTCTTACTAGTCCCTGAGGCACTGATATGTATCAGTCAGGGCTCCTCCTCAGTTTCTTTGCTTTTCCTTCTGGGAAGTCTCTACGCCTACATCTTTGACCACCACCACCAATGGATCCCATTTCTTTTATTTTTGTATTCATTAATATTTGTCTTGCGTGTCCTTATTGAATGTAATATTTCTATCCTATTCCATTCCTGACTTGTCTCTTGAAAGACCCATTACAGTTAACTGCTTATTAGCCCCTCAACGCCTGCACGATGTCTCATAGGTACCTCAGCTCGGCATGACTCAAACTAAATTCGTCACCCTCTTTCTCTAATTCCTGACAAGCTACTGACCAAAATACCACTACCTCTCCCCGCAAGGAAGGAAAACACATGTCACACTCTCACAGATCCTCTTTCTGCTGCTTCCCACCCCACTGCCTGGGAGGAAGATGATCAGGGCAGGAATCATGAGGATGTGGGGCAACACTAGCCAATGGAGATATTTAGGAAGCAGAATGAGACAGAAATGATCAACTCAGAGTGGGTAATGAAGGAGTGGGCAAGGGGAGTCCTCTGTAAGGATGCTCAAGTTTCCTGTATCAGTGCCTGGGTGTATAGACGTTCAAGAGATGTCTGTTGGGGCTTCCCTGGTGGCGCAGTGCTTGAGGGTCCGCCTGCCGATGCAGGGGACGCGGGTTCGTGCCCCGGTCCGGGAAGATCCCACGTGCCGTGGAGCGGCTGGGCCCGTGAGCCATGGCCGCTGGGCCTGCGCGTCCGGAGCCTGTGCTCCGCGGCGGGAGAGGCCACAGCGGTGAGGGCCCCGTGTACCGCAGGAAAAAAAAAAAAGAGAGATGTCTGTTGAATGAACAGGTAAGCGAATGCATAAACCTCTTTACATAAAACAGTTATGTCCGGTGCAGCAAGGCAAAGAGAATCAGATTGACTGAGCCCCACGCAGACGACATGACTGGCAAGCATACCTTGGATGATGGCCAGCAGGATGACAATGACGAAGAAGAAGAATGTAATGTCAAAGACGATGCGGTACATTTCGTACGGGTCCCCAGCGGGGTCTTCAATTTCATCGCCAATGCCACCTCCAGCCCTCACTCCCACGTACATGTGGAACAGGTAACACTAGAGAAGAAAAATGATGGCGATTCAGGTTAAAGGTGCAGAGTTTTGTTTGTTTTTACAGAGATGGTCAGATCATTCATGTAATAAGATCAAAACATGACAGCGCTGAGGCAGGAGACGGGTGCTCTTCACAGTAACACATTCATGCTGCTAACTCTGTCCTCTGCACCCCCTGGTTAGGTTGGTGTCTATCAAGATGGAAAGATTGCTGTTCCACGTAGCCTTTAAAAGGTGTTTTTGGCTCTTTTCTTGAAAACAGTTTTGAACTCTTTGACACACACGTGAGAATTCACTCTAGGTGTGTATAAGTTCAAAGAACTTTCTGCCCTGATGAGGATGGCATATGCCAGATACGAGTTTTCTCTCACTTAATTTTTAAAGTGCCAGCCTGGACTTGGGGCCGGGCTACAGCCTCCGGGGAAAGGCCTCCCCTACTTGGCATCCTCCGTGCACCCGGGAGGGCAGGGCTCCCCGCAGAATCTCCTCCCAAGTGCCCGTGTGCTCCAGGTAGGCTCCTGGGCCGGGGCCCACAGAGCAGGCTGCCCTCTGTCCCTCCTCCTGACTGGCAGTGATGGCTTCGGGATGGGAGTGTGGAGGCAGTCTTAGTGGCTGGCAAATCAAAAGCCAGTGGCAGCACGGAGCCCACGCTGGTCATACGGTTGCTCTTGTGCCTGTAGTGTTGCTGTCTCATGGGCTGCTTGCCCCGAGAAAACACAAGGAGAGTTTTTAGCCAAAAAGCGTATCTATTTTCTGGAGAAACGATCACAGGCGGGGGCAGGGGGACAGTGTACTGTCACCTGTCTCTGATACACACATCCTTTTCTTGACATCTGGTCATGATAAACGTCAAGAGACGCTACTGCAGCTGTGCTGGCTCACCCTGCGCTGTGCCCTTCTATGCCCGCAGGAGCCCCAGCCCCGCCCTGACCCAATCCTGCTGCTGTGACATTTTTCAGACGACATGGCTGTTCTGAAACAAGCCCCACTGGCTTGCTGAGATAAACGGAGCACCAGATTCGTGGGACTTTGCTCCTAGCTCTCAGAGGCAAAGAATCAGAGTCTGGCTTCCATGAGATACAGACACAGGTAACTCACGTCTTCGCCACACACAGATGTGGATGGATGGTGATCCGCTTAGCTGTGTGCTTCTCCTTCCGCCTGGGCCCCGACAAGTGGTCTATTCCATCACTTCTGTCTTTCCAGGACCCACCTCCCTTTCGGATGAGACATCAGTGTTCTACTCTCATCTCTGTCCTGCTCTGTCTCCACTCTACCACTCTGCCCACAGCCCTTCTGTCCCAGCCACGCCAGGTGGCCCTACACAGGGAATTCTCACCGTCATCATGTCATCACACTTCATGTCGGGCTCATCGTCGCCTTCACTTTTGTTGTAGAACTTGCGAAAGAAGTTGAACGCCACCACGGTATAGAGGTAAACCACCACGGCCAGGAGACCGACAGTCAGGACCAACTGGGAGCAGAAAGGGGGCGGGGGAAGAGGAGGTGGGGCTACTCCACCTTGCAAGGTTGGTGGGAGACTCCAAGAAAACAGGGGAAAGGGGAAAGATGAGGGGTCTGGAACGAAGGCTGTCATACAGCAGGTGCCGAAGGAAAGCAAGATCACAGAGAGAAACAGGCGTATCGGGAGAAAAGAGTAATGATGGGCTGTTATGGAACGAACTGTGTCCCCCCCGGAATTCATATGTTGAAGCCCTAACCCCCGGTACCTCTGAAGGTGACTGCACTTGGAGATAGGGCCTTTAAAGAGGTGATTTAATTAAAATGAGGCCGTGAGGGTGGGCCCTGCTTCAATCTGACTGGTGTTCTTACAAGAGGAGGAGGTTAGGACTCAGAAGGAGAGATACCAGGTGGCCGTACGCATCGAAGGATAATCAAGTGAAAAAGCAGCAAGAGGCAGCCAGCTGCCCGCCAAGCTACCCACACCTTGCTCTTGGACTTCCAGCCTCCAGAACTGAGAGGAAATCAATGTCTGTTGTCTAAGCGCACAGTGTTGAGTATTTTGTTAAGGCAGCCCGGGCAGACTAACAGCTGGGGTACTGCACGGGGCGCATATAAACTACACAGGGATTTAAGGATGAGAATAGTGACGGTGCTCTGAGGACGGTTACTTTGTTTTTTTCACAGAGATGGCAGTGACCCAAGGCTTCAAGAGGTCGCTTTCACTCTAACTCTGCTTTTATTTATTTGCTTATTTATTTAATTGAAGTAGAGCTGATTTACAATATTGTGTTAGTTTCACGTGGACAGCACAGTGATTCAGGTATACACACACACGTGTCTATTCTTTTTCAAATTCTTTTCCCATTTAGGTTGTTGCAAAATACTGAGTATAATTCCCTGTGCTATATACAGTAGGTCCTTGTCGTTTACCTATTTTGTACATAGTAGTGTGTATATGTTAATCCCAAACTCCTAATTTATCCCTCCCTACCCCCCCTCTTTGGTAACCGTAAGTTCTAATGCTGCTTCTGAAGAAACGACAAGAAATTAATATAACATTGTAAATCAGCTATACCTCAATAAAATTTTTAAAAAATTAATTAAAAAAAGAAGAAGAAACTAGATTCCCTGGGCTCATGGGTATCCCTACGTCACAATATTTCATAACTAACCATGAACTGGATCACTGTCACAGCTTTGAAGTTACTATAAGAATTATGATTGAGCAAAGTGACATTTTTCATAATGAAGAAACCTGCCTTGGACCTTTGCCAGGGTCATAGGGCCTGTTTGTTTCTCGGCTTTCAGAGGCACAATGAATGAGGACTACACAGGACCTGCTCATCGGGCCTATACCAGGGACTAGGTGCTGGGCTGGAGCTGTGAAGTTCAACAACATAAAATCTTTCTTTGCCCCCAAGCTGCTACACAAAAGGGAGTGGGCATGATAAGTACCAGAACAGACATATTCAGCAGCTTCTTGAACAATGAATTTAGTGATTTGAACCTTGGATAGCAGACCTCATGGAAAGCAGCCGGTTTAGAAAAAGAAAGAATGTGGGCTTTGCACCAAGGAACAAATGGGCTTGAATCTAAGTTCTGCCACTTAGCAGCTGTGTGCTCTTGGGTGAAATACTTAGCCTCTCTGAGCCTCAGTGCTCTTCTCTCTCAAGTGAGTGTAACACTTACCTTATAGGGTGGTTGTGAGCCTATTGCAATACCTAGCACATGGCACAAACTGGGCACATTTTTTTTTTAACAATCTTGCCAGAGTTTAGTCGGCGAGCCCATAAAAGACATTCATTGTTTAATAAATGCTGGAGAGGGCGTGGAGAAAAGGGAACCCTCCTAAACTGTTGGTGGGACTGTAAATTGATAGAGCCACTATGGAGAACAGTATGGAGGTTCCTTAAAAAACTAAAAATAGAACTACCATATGACCCAGCAATCCCACTCCTAGGCATATACCCTGAGAAAACCATAATTCAAAAAGATACATGCACCCCAATATGCAGCACTATTTACAATAGCCAGGACATGGAAGCAACCTAAATGTTCACCAATGGAGGAATGGATAAAGAAGATATGGTACATATATACAATGGACTATTACTCGGCCATAAAAGAGAACAAAATAATGCCATTTGCAGCAACATGGATGGACCCAGAGACTGTCATACTAAGTGAGGTAAGTCAGTCAGACACAGAAAGACGAAGATCGTATGATATCGCTTGTATGTGGAATCTAAAAAAAATGGGTGCAAATGAACTTATTTACAAAACAGAAGTAGAGTCACAGATGTAGAAAACAAACTTACGCTTACCAGGGGATAAGGGGGTGAGGGAAAAATTAGGATATTGGGATTGACATATATACACCCCTAGGTATAAAACAGATAACTAATAAGAACCTACTGTATGGCACAGGGAGCTCTACTCAATACTCTCTAATGGCCTATACGGGAAAAGAATCTAAAAAAAGAGTGGATATATGTATATGTATAACTGATTCAATTTGCTGTACACCTGAAACTAACAAACACAACATTGTAAATCAACTGTACTCCAATAAAAATTGTTTTTTAATTAAAAGAAATTCATTGTTTAAACTTCTCATTTAAGGTACAGTTTTGTATAATGCCGTTAAACCAAATCAATAAAAATTGAACTTTCTGTATCTGAGTAAAGGGGAAGAAAAGAATTCTAAAAGGACAAATTGTAGAACTGGCATTGCATAAATCCCGGTTTGGGAAACGCCAACCTTTATCGGATAAAACTTCCCAAGACACACATGGAAAAATAATACACAATGCCCTTTCTCCCAGGAACCTATAAGGAAGTATTTACCACTCTCTAAGCAAACATCTATATCACAGGTTCTGTTATTACCTCCCCAAACTTTAGCTTCTTGTATGTGGCAGCAAATTTCTATCTCTAGCTTTCCTCCATTCTTTTTAGTGTCAACTGAGAAACTGGCGCCACTACCAGAAGCCTAGAAGAAATAAACCATTGTAATACCTGATGATCTAGCACCCTTTCATTTTAGAACAATTAAAGGTTAATCTGACTTTTTTTCTGGTTGGAATTTTTATTTTTTAAGGTGTACAATGTGATGATTTAATATATGCATACATTATAAAATGATCACCATGATCAAGTTAATTAACATATCCATCACCTCACACAGTTACCGCACGCGCGCGCGCGCGCGCGCGCGTGTGTGTTTGCTGAGAACACTTAAGATCTACTCTCTTGGCAAATTTCAAGCATACAATACAGCATTTTTAACTATAAGCACCATGCTTTACATTAGATCCCCGGAACTAATTCATTTAATAACTGAAAGTTTGTACTCTTTGACCAGTGCTCCCCATTTCCCCCAGCACACCCAGCTCCTGGTAACTACTGCTCTATTCTCTGGTTCTGGAAGTTTGCCCTTTTTATGATTCCCCATATAAGTGACACCATACAGTATTTGTCTTTCTGTGCCTGGCTTATTTCTCTTAGCATAATGCCCTCTAGGCTCATCTATATTGTTGCAAAAGGCAGAATTTCCTTCTTTTAAATGGCTGAATGATATTCTGTATGTTCATAACAAATTTTGTTTATCCACTCATCCACTGATGGACACAGGTTGTTTCCATATCTTGGCTATTGGGAATAATGCTGCTATGAACATGGGAATATAGATATCTCTTTGAGATACTGATTTCATCTCCTTCAGATATATACACCCAGAAGTGCAACTGCTGGATCACATGGCAGTTCTATACTTAATTTTTTGAGGAACTGCCATACTGTCTTCCCTAATGGCTGTACCAAGCTGGGTACATATTAACTCCTTTCTTTTCTCCCTTCTCCTGTAAAGATTTAGAGACGTGAGGGAACATGTCTCATTCATGGATTTGCACTTAATGCGGAATAAAATGCTAGGGAGTTTGAATTTGTTCACAGGAGGAGCCATTAGAGGACTTTTAATCAAGGGATTGACCCTGACAGTTCTGTAGAAGACAGACTGGGTATTGATGGGACCGGATGTAGAGCAATGACTATATAGATATATATAGAAATGTACACATGCATGTATATAACATATATAGCTATATATGTCTACCTATATACACATACAGCTGTATATATGTGTATATATGTATAGATCTATATATATCTAAGTCATTGGTTCTCTTTCTTTTTTTTTTTTTTTTTTTTTGGGGCTCCATTGGGTCTTCATGGCTGATGCAAGCGGGGGCTACTCTTTGTTGCGATGCATGGGCTTCTCACTGCGGTGGCTTCTCTTGTTGCAGAGCACGGGCTCTAGGTGCATGGGCCTCAGGAGTTGTGGCACGTGGACCCAGCAGCTGTGGCTCGCGGGCTCCAGAGCGTAGGCTCAGTAGTTGTGGCACACGGGCTTAGGTTGCTCCGCGGCATGTGGGATCCTCCCTGGCCAGGGCTCGAACCCGTGTCCCCTGCGTTGGCAGGAGGGTTCGCAACGACTGCGCCACCAGGGAAGCCCACTGGTTATGTTCTTTCCTAACCATATCTAGGTCCCTCCCGTTCTGCAGCGGTGTAAACCCCATACCTGTTTGCCATTGTGAGTGACAGATGACAGAATAGTCCTCAGAGTCTTGAAGCCCATCGCGATATCCAGCAGATGAGCAGCAAAGAAGAAATTGTTGTAGTGGCCCAGGACTGACATGGTCGTGTACCAGGCGAGGTAGAGAAAGGACTGTGGAAATGGAAGAAATTGAGCAGCTTTTCAGGCATTCAGGGGACCGAGGTGCTTTGAGCTGGCCCAAGAATTGCCAAGTCAAGCCCCATCTGCCTCATACTACTGCACAAGAGAGAAGTGTCCCCCCAGCACCCTAGGGCCCTCTGTCTTCGCCCAGCACCCCCTGCATCTTCCTGAGCCGCCTCCATAGCTTGTTTCTTTGTGGCAGCTAATGACATCCCTGGACTCGGGGCACAGAATTTTGCTTTCCCAGATGCCATACTTACATTGTCAGTAAAAACAACTCCCAGCTTCCAGATATGGTACTTCATGTCGATGGAACTTAGCCTAAAGGGGAACACATCAGTTCAAAACTTAAAAATGTCGAGATTTAGTTAAGTGTTTAATAAGGGGAAAAAATGATTTTTTTTCTCTCTTGGGTTTAATAACCTAAATACAGCTCTGAGCTTTATCAAGTTGTATGTGTTCACCATGAGAGTGAGAACGGCTGAATCACACACCCTGAAATTTTAATTAGTCTTTCTCTTTCAGCTCTATCAGGCATAAAGGCTGATAAGTCTTTCGATTTTTTTTTAAAGCAGTGCTCTCCCCCCCATATTTTAGAACCTAGAAGAAACACTTAGGCGAGACCAGAGTCTAAGACAGCGAAGACCTGATTGTGAGCTTTCAGGTCTGAGGTGAGCTCAGGCCGTGCATCACCACCGATGTTTTCTCCAGCCCCAGTGCCGTCAGAGCTGTGTTACGCTCTGTAGCACAGGGAAGAGGACTGGAAAGATAAAGGGTCTAGTCGGCCAGACTTTGGGATTTAACTCCCAAGCTCTCTGTACCATGACACCAGGGAGGCTGCCTGTGCTTTGGTCTCTTCTACTGGACTAAAGTCGAGGGCATTTTTGTCCAACCCCAGGAGTTCAGCAATGCGTTCTGCTCCGTAGAGATCTCCATACTTGTTGATCACCTAAAGCAGAGAGGAAGACAGGGTGAGCTCAGGCCGTGCATCACCACCGATGTTTTCTCCAGCCCCAGTGCCGTCAGAGCTGTGTTACGCTCTGGGCTCTTCCAAGGGGTTGATAAAGACATGAGTCAAAATGCAAAAGGAAAATAAAGAGAAAAACATAACCTCCAGAGAAAACAGAAGTGATAAAGACAATTAAGTGAAAACTGCTTTCCTAGCTATCATTTAGGAGGAGAGAAAAAACCTAGTATGTAGAAAACAGTGATTTTGTTAAGCTGATTAAGGCAGATGAGTATAGGAACTAAGCCCCAAACCTACATGCGTTCATATAAAACCCCTTCTGTGACTTAACTCTTCTCGAGATACCATCATAAAAGCACCATTACATTTATTCATGTTCGTATATGGAGAACTTAAAAAAACAATCTACATTTCTTTGGCGGTCATGGAATTTACTCCCCCTGCCCCGCCCCCCAACAAGGCATACCTTTCTCTTTACAAACTTGTCCCAGTAGTTATTAGGAAAAGATCTGAAGAAGAAAACGAAACAGGGAGATTCTTAACATCAAGGCAAGCACATCAGGAAACTTTGCAGTTTGAGTGTCTGGACCTGTGATCTCTTGGGGTTTTGTCCTGCTCATTGAAGAATTCAAGACTTGATTGAAGTTCAGAGTCACCGCGGGTCTGATCTCTGGTTTCACTGCTTTGCGGTGAGTTCTGAAACACCTGGAAAGCTCCTTTGCATTTTCTACTTCAAAATTATGGTTAAGAGCCAGGAATCGTGATGACAGACTAGCTAGAGGCAGGGATATGTGTCTTGAGCTCAGTGTAACTAGAAACCAAACCCTGCAGGAACCACGTGCGTTCAACCTTCCTTTCACTGAGTGCCCACTTTATGGCAGTAACTGGGGTAGGTGCTGGGGACACGGTGGTGGGAGGTGTAGACAAGGTCCCTAACTATGAAGTTTCCAGTCTGGAAATCACCGTTAGTTAATTTACGTGGGGGTTTTCTTAATGGAGTGCGCTTCTGCTCTGTTCTCCATTCCTGCATAACTCCTGTTGGGGTGTGCTTTTCCCCGGGAATGAGCTCCCTCTCTCCTTTGGAGGTAGTTCCTATGCCATCCCAACCTTAACCCCACAGAGGGAACAGCTTTCTTCTGGCAAGTAGCTAGTACCAGCTCCACTGCAAATACCTTCTTATTGTTAAAGTCGAGAAATAACTGTTACTTTCAGGTATGTTGGCAGAAACCATTTAAAATATTTTGCTCCCCTCCAGAATGATCAGTCCTTCCTGAGAGGTTCCTTGGGAGTCTAGTTTGCAGCCAAGGAACCTCTGGTCCTTGGTGCAAACATTCTTACTTCTGTTTTCCTTCATGTGTAAATCGTTCTTGTTTGTTAGCTCTGGAACACAACAGTCCCCTATGCTATAGAGGCCGCCTAAGTTGGTGATGAGGAAGGAGGGCCTCCCTCTGTTCGTGGACCTCTCAGAAGAATAACCCTGAGCAATTGGCACCTTGCTCACAACAGGGTGGCAATCTTTAAACAAAACAAAAAAATTTTTTTGGATATTTAAAGCAGTCTTGGTCTTCTTTTTTTTTTTTTCCTTAAGATATTTTTTGGGATGTGGACCGTTTTTAAAGCTTTACTGAATTTGTTACAACACCGCTCCTGTTTTGCTTTTTTGGCTGCGAGGCGTGTGGGATCTTAGTTCCCCCGACCAGGGATCGAACACACACTCCCTGTACTGGAAGGCAAAGTCATAACCACTGGACTACCAGCGAAGTCCCCAGCAGTCTTGGTCTTAAACATCCAAATGCCACTTAAAAACAAAGAGGGAAGAGATATGGGAACATATATATATGTATAACTGACTCACTCTGTTATAAAGCAGAAACTAACACACCATTGTAAAGCAATTATACCCCAATAAAGATGTTAAAAAAAAAAAAACTGAATCAAGAGGGAAGAGATATGGGAACATATATATATGTATAACTGACTCACTCTGTTATAAAGCAGAAACTAACACACCATTGTAAAGCAATTATACCCAAAAAAAAATTTAAAAAAAAAAAAAAAAAAACAACAACAAAGCAAACTGCTAATAGATTTTATCTACGGGGGGATGGAAGTAATTATTTTGACCTCCTTCTTTGTCCATTGTTCTGCTACTTGATTTTTTTCATGTATGGTATTTAGAATCCAAAATAAACAAAACCAATAAAAACGAGCCAGTCTTCCTCTGTCCACACTGGCATCACCTTTCTCTTAAGTCTTTTAGAAAAAAATGGTCGGTCTGTAAGATACAACAACTCAGGGTTGGCCACATTTTGGCATAAGTGGAAAATTCCACAAGTGATCCTGAAGGGCCAGTGACGAAAGGCTGTGGTCAAGACCCTTTCACAGATGTGATCCTACTTTGATCTGAATATTCTTGTCTCCTGACCAGGTGTGTAAGCTCCTTCAAGGTAGAAGACGTAATTCCACTGGGTAATATTCCTTTAAGTGTGGGGTAGGCCAAGAACCTTCAGAAGGGAAATGCATAAATAAGTGATGGATCTATAATATGAAGGGTCAAGAAAAACAACATAAGCTGCTCACCTCTTAGAAACCAGCAGAATGCACAATGAGATGCTATTACACACCTACCAGATGAGCCAAGTTATCTGAGGATAACAAGTGCTGACAAGGAGGCAGAGAAGCAGGAATTCTCACAGGGTGCTGGTTTAATGTAAATGGGGACAAACATTTGCATATCCCACTATTCAGCAAATTCGTCTCCTGCTACCCACTCCAGAGAAAACTCTTTTACTTGTGCACCAGGTATAAAAATACTCCTTACAGCACTGTTTCCAACATACACTAGTGGGAAACAGTTGACATAGCTACTATCAGGAAAATGGATAAATGCATAATAATATACTCCTAATGGAAAATGCTACAGTTTTGAAAATGACCAACTCGGGCCACACGTATCAACGTATTCAACTGATGAGTTCTTGAAGAGGGTGCTGAACAAAAGATTCAAATGACAGTTCAATGCATATAGTATAACTCCGTGTATATGAAGCTCAAAACTAGTTAAGATGAAACCATGTATCTAGGGACACATACCTAAGTGGTAACACTATAAACTAAGGCAAAAGAATGGACAGCACTAAAGGCAGGAGGGTGGTTAGCTGGGGTCCAGGGAGGATAGGGGCCAGAGAGGATAACGTCTGGGACCTCAAAGTTTTCAGCGATGTTCCAGTTTTAAAGCTTTGTAGTTCATTTTACTAATGTACTTTAAAATATACGTTTTTATATTTTCTTCTATATGTGTATTTAACAATACAAAAATAAAATTAAAAAAGAAAGCTCTCCATGACATATAGTTAACTCAAAAAAAAAGCAGGTTACAAAGCACTACATGTACAAGGATGCCCTTATCATGAAGAAATAACAGAAGTTCATTGATCTAAATGTTTTAAAACAGCTGTTTTAGGGGCTTCCCTGGTGGTGCAGTGGTTGAGAGTCCGCCTGCCGATGCACAGGTAAAATATTCAAAGCATTGGTAATACAAATGTTAACTGAATTAGGGAAAAGAATAGATCAACACAATGAAAACTTTAACAAGGAGCTAGAAAACATCAAAGAGACCCAATCAGAAATAAAGGATTCAACGGGTGAAATTAAAAAAAAAAAAAAAAAAAAAAAAAAACAACACAAAAAAAAAAAAAAAAAAAAAAAAAAAAAAAAAACACAGCTGTTTTACTTATACATGCGTTTCCCTATTCATGGGCATTTCAGCCACTTCAAATAAATGTCAGCAACTGTCCTTGTTAAAACGGTTTAGTGTTCTTGTCTCATTATCTCCTTAGGATAAACTTCTAGAAACCGAACTAGGTTTTTACTGGGACTTTTAGGCTATATCATCTTGTGCCACAGACACAAGCGTTACTGATAATTACAGAAAGCTTACCAAGGAATGAGATTATTTAATATTCAAATTTCCTATACTATAATAACAAAGGGTCAGAAATAAGTCTTAGTAGTTTCCCCTATTTTTCCTTAAAAGTGAGGAGATTGGCAGTGACCTGCAGGCCTAAACAAGCTTTTGATTTGCCTGCTCACACCTATTTTTCCCTGAGAGAGGAGTCTTCCCTTTCTCGGGACTATTAAAAAGAGCTCAGCGGTGCCTGTGTAGAGCTGCCTCTCTCAATTTGCCTAACCATCTCTGAATAAGTAGAATTTTCTTCCTGCAGGGGTCAGAGTTGTTGTTTCTAGATGTGCATATTTTACTGGCACAGCCGAGAGATTCAACAGTCATCTTTGTTTACATATTCAGCCCTATTTCTTGACTTTTCTTTCATAACATTAATTTATCTTGCAACTCTCATTTCCCTATTGTGAATACACCGGCGTTGAGAGCATCACCTTTGCTGATGGTGATGGTCATTTTCTTCCTAAATTTTTATTGTGGTAAAATATACGTAACTTAAAATTTACAATCTTAATCATCTGGCTACAATCCCTGTGTTGTACAATATATCCTTGTAGCTTATTTTATACCTAACCGTTTATACCTCTTAATCCCCGTCCCTATATCGCCCCTTCTCCCTTCCCTCTCCCCGCTGGTAACCACTGGTTTGTTCTCTGTATCAGTGAGTCTGCTTCTTTTTTGTTATATTCTCTATGTTGTATTTTTTAGATTCCACATGTAAGTGATATCGTACGGTATTTGTCTTTCTCTGTCTGACTTATTGGTGATGGCCATTTTTCTTTAACAGGGAAAGGGAATAACGAACAGCCACGTGCCAGGCACTGTACCAAGCACGGGACAATCCATTCATCAGTCCTCCCAGGACTGTAGGCGGTGGTATTCTCATCCCTCTATTAATGAAGAGGAAACTGAGGTTTATAAAACCTGATTCCCTTGCCCTAGGTCACGGGTGTCTACGATATAAAGCTGACTCAGTATTCTACCTCTTTGCCTCTAGAATCAATGCTTGTCTCCACCACGTTAGCAACTGTACACGTGCCTACCAAGAAGGCAGGCTTCACCCCACGGGTCCTAACATCCCCACCCAGATGGACCTATTTTAACTGTCCATGGAACTGCCTATCAAATTATATTGGGAGGAGTTCTAGTACCAACCAGGCTATAGGGAGAAGGCTTCAGAGGTGGTGCTGTCACAGGGCTGCTGTGCCACCTGGGGACTCTGGAGAAGCTGATCTGCTTGATCACTGAAACCCCGGGCCAGGGAAACACTGTGCGACTCAAACATGGAAAACTAGATTAAGTAGTATTGTGCTGGACCATCTGGTCTTAATTAAATATGCTCAGCACTTTCTGATGATATCCTCTGTCCCCTATTAAATGCATAGGGATACGTATAACTGTTGGAGGCACAATAGGCTACTTTGTGAAAAGGCAGGGGAGAAAACAAGTCCCAGAAACCAAAGGAAGGCTTATATTAATCAGTCTCCAGGGCTGCTGAAGAAGGTATTATCCTATTTACAACAGAAACTCCGTTTTCTTTTTGGGGTGGGGGGAAACTTACGGTGTGTTGATTACCAAGCGATCCCATTGCCCCTTGATGTCATCTTCAGAAGGCTGTTCGGTGATATACAGGCCGTCAAACTCCAGCTTCCTGGCAATTTCTTTTTCTCTTTTGAATACCACCAAAGGAACCTAGGAGTGGGAAGACACTGGTTACTCAGAGAAGGCTTTCTAATGAAAGCATCCTCTCCCACGCCTATCTCACAAACTGGCCTTCCAACTTCAGGGCAGCAAACTCTTTGTAGTGGGATTCTTAGGGTGCCTAGTTGTGGGTCCAAAGCCAAAGAAATCACTTCTCAGTCCTCTGGCTCACACACCTCCCTCTCCAGAGCTGATATGATTTGGGTCATCCTTTAACCAGCTGATAGTATTACAAACTGTGGACTTCTTGACCCGTCCTGGTGAGAAGACCATATTTAGATGAATCACAGGGCCGAAGGACTTAGGTCTCCTGAAACACTTAGGCTGGAGGTAAACCAAGACTTAGAAAGCATAATAAACTATTCTAGAATATATTGGACAGCTGCAGAAATACGATGAACAGTTCCAACCCCCTTCAGTGGCTAGGGTCATATTCATCTCATGTCTTTGAATTCTGATTAATGGTTACAATGAGAGGATTCACTGGGCTCTGTGCATAGTCTTTTGCTATTGAAGTTTTCTTCCTGACATTCCTTCCCAGAAGAGCTCCTGCCTGGCACACTTACTTGTTCCCTACCATCGTTTCCCATTCACTTATAGTTATGACTGCTTCTAGCCTACACATGGTGGCATGGTTCTAAAGACCTATCACAAAAGCAGTACATACACAGAAAATGCTGGGAAGATAATCCACTTGCTCCAACCATCGCCAGACACACACACACTTCAGATAAGGGACGGAATGAGCAAGGTCAGAGGATACGACTGGAATCCCAGGAAATGAGAAGGCAGAAAAGCCAGAGCTCCACTAGCCAGAAAAGCTTAACTCAGACAGAACTAGGGCTTCTCATCCACCTGGGAAGCTACTCGTTACTTGGCAACATCCCTGAGACCTTGGTCTCCAAACTGTTTCTTCTAATAACTCCCTCTCAAATCTCACGATATCCGTACAACCCACGCTGCTCCTTTATTTCCGAGACAAAAAGGCAAAATTTAGATAATGGTCCGTAAAGAGTTACTGCTCACCCTTTTTCTTCCTCCCTTAATTTTTTATTTTTTATTTTTAAAATTTATTTCACTGAAGTATAGTTGATTTACAATGTTGTGTTAGTTCCTGGTGTACAGCAAAGTGGCTCAGTTACACACACATATACCTTCTTTTTCATATTCTTTTCCATTACGGTTTAGCACAGGATATTGAATATAGTTCCTGCTTACCCCTTTTTTTAAACAAGGCAACAACACTGAGGAAATAAAAGAATCATGACAGGAAGGTGGCAAAGGCTACTAAGGGACATTGCACACTGTAGAGTCAGTGCCTGGTGTTGGTTCATGGATCATGTGGGAGGGGAAGCAGGGAAAGCCACCCTGACTAGTGTTTGCTGTGTGTCGAGGTGACCCTGAATTACAATAATAATATCAAGTTTTAGATCAGTACTGATCACTGGGATTTGGAGCATTCTCCGTCAGTCTTTTAGGAATTTGTATTCCCTCGTAAGTACAACTTGCACATTTTTATTCCCTAGATAGTGTTTATTTTTGTTTTCTCTAGGTTACCTGTACCCTAGCCGACAAGCTGAGCTCTAGATGGTGAACTAAGGAATAGTAGCGAACATGCTCTAATGTTTACTACGTCTGGCTCTGAGTATTTTACCTTTAATTAATTAAAAGTTAATTCATTTAATCCTCCCTTTAGCAACTTTAGCGGTTGGTGTTATTATTATCATAGTCATTTTATTTTGCAGATGAGGAAACAGAGGAATGGCGAGGTTAAGTGGCAGAGCTGTGGGTCCAACCCCGGAGGCCAGGCTCCAGAATCCATTCTTTCATTGTTACAGTGGAGGCCTCAGGGCAATTTAGGACACATGGTCTCTCCAGCAGAGCAGCTGGACTTCCTAAGTGATACTGCAGTCCACTGGGGGAAGTGAGAGCCACAAGGATAGGAAAAGACTTCCTGGACTCTTCTCAGGGAAAAGGTGGCTTGGTATAGGGCCAAGGAAACTTCCTACTTAAGAGAAGTAAGAAAAAATGTAACGAGAAAAAACAATTGTGGTGTATGTAGTAGAAACAGAACTGGACTTGGAACACCTAAAACAGAATGACTGAAGATTGACATAACTATAGCAGTGTCTGAAGACGGTCCCAGAGAACCACGTCTACTGCTATTCATGCCCTTGTGTAGCCCCCCTCACCCTCTGTGCAACAGTGAATCTTGGCTGGCCCTGTGACTTGCCTGAATCAACAGAATGTGGCAGAAATGGCACCTTGCCAGTTCTGGGCCTAAGCCTTAAGAAGGTCTAGCACCTTCCATGTGTGCTCTTTTTGGACAACCAAGCCATCATATGCAAGAAGTCCGGCTACCCAGCTGGAGAGAGCATGTGAAGAGACCACATGGAAAGGGAGATGCCCCGAGTCTACAAGGAGGGGGAGAGAGGCCCAGCTACCCCAACTGAGCCCAGCCTTCCAGCTGTTCCCTTGCCAACGTGCATGGGCCATCTTGGACAGCGTAGCCCATCTGAGCTCCCAGCTGGTTGCTGATGTGACCACTTGCACAGGACGCAGAGGAACC